CAAACTACAGGATTCGTCCGGACGCTGAAATTATTTTCAGAGTAATTTTAAGTTTATGCATTTCGTTGTATCCACATTATTTATTTTATTGTATCCACTATACCATTCATATGTACTTCAGTCATTTCAAATTCAATTTCAAATGTTGTAAAACCTTCACCAGCTTGATAATGAAAAATGTATTTTCGAAACGTCGCTATCTATTAAAATGTCATTCGGAAACCTGCTTTTCGATCTCCCGGCTCCAGCTAGAAATTTGGTTCGACTCATTGAAAAGACGAACAAGAAGATTGTAAATAAAAAGCATGCTCTGGTCTTTAATCAAACTTGCATAAAAGAGAAGCTTTTGCCGAACTACACCAATATATATATATATATATATATATATCATACGATATATATACATATAATATACGAGATATTATATTATAATATCCACGAGAATGGGGTCCACCTGAAGCCATAGAGCCCCGTCAAGAGCTGTAGGTGCAGAGGCCCTGCAGTAGCTGACAGGAGGGCGCTGCCCCCACAGCATCTCTACGCAGTCCAGGGCGCAGTTCACCACCTTCACCACAAGGGGGCGATGGACCAAGTCGTGGTGGTTCCAGAGGGACAGCGTAGTGTCCATGAGGGACGACAGATGGACACGGGCGTCGTGAGGGTCGTGCGTGAGCTTGGCGTGCACGACGAAGGGCAGTAGGCGCTTGCAAAGGGCGGCGTCCAGTCCACACACGGACTTGGTAGACGCGAGGACTGGACACCCGCAGTCGGAGGACAACAGCAAGACAAGTAGCCGTCTCAGCCACGTGTCCGCCGACTCGCCTGTCCGCCACTTGCCGTCGTGGCGGATGTCGGTGGACACCGCGGACGGGGGGGTCTCTGGGTCAGGTCGTCTGTTTATGAGGGGATAGGGATTAAAAGATGACTTCATTAAAGACCTGTTCATACGTCAAAATACAATAAACATTTCGTCAACAGGAGTCAGGAGAAAATATTCAATAGGAATTGAGAAATACGCATGTTTAGCAGCTAATTGACTTGATTAAGACCTGTAAAAGTGCAGTATACACATCATCAACAAGAGTCGGGAGGGTTTCGATGAAATGTTCAATATGGATTGAGATATATACATGTCTATTAGCTAATAAATGAATGTTTAGAAGCTATTAAAAACTCACTGTGAAGTTTGCAGCAGACACAGCCGACTTTTGAGCTGCCGGTGCAGCAGAGGCAGCACCTCCTGCACCTGCTGACTCTGCACGATCCTACAAAGGGCTTCACTGCTGGCACGACACACGGCCGGGTCCACGGTGTCAAGACGCTCCACCAGACACCCCAGCACTAGAACCACCCGTCCCTCCTTCACCCCCAGCAGGGGCTTGCTCCCTGCCTCCTGCCAGCGGACCCAAGGGAGGCCTAAGTCCTCGAGGGTGGAAGCTTCGGCTGAGTTCGGGGGTGGGACTTGAGGACAAGGGGACTCGAGGGAAGTCCTCGTCGCCTGGGGACGAATGAGACCGAGACAGGACCCTGCCGTCTGTTGCGCCTGGGGCGTAACGAGCGTGTCGTCCTGAGACGAGCACACGTTAAAGAGACGCAGGGTCAGGGTGGAGACAAGGTCCGGAGACAGCTCTGAGATCTGCTGCTCCGACGACGCTTGTAGCAGGCGCAGAAGATGTTCCAGGGCCCACTCATCCAGAGGCAGTGCTCTGAAGAAGGCGACTTCAGAGCACAGGTTCTCAGGGTGACGTCCTCGGCTCCTGACGAGGGAGTAGTGCTGGTCGTGCAGGACTTTGAGGGGAGCAGTGAGCTGGGAAGTCTCCAGGTTCGGGAACAGCGGCGGAAACTGCGATGTTGTTTCCACGATCATTTCGTGGTCGGTTAAGATGAACGTGAGTAACTCGCAGCAACACCGCCACCCTGGCCGTAGATCGTGACAAAATGCACGTAGTTTAGGTACGAGGTCCGTGACGGCTACACGTGCCGTAGCATGTAAGTGTTCGTAATTTAGGACCCCCGACAAAGTTTCCTTCAATATCTTCACTATTTGCTCCACGAACTCCAGACGCAGGGATGCCGCTCGCTCCAGGCACGAACTAAGCATCCGTACCACCATGGGGATGACAACGAATTCAACCTGAACGTGGACCGAGGTATCAAAATCAGGGTTTGTCAACGTTAATTAATAGTGCAAAGAAAATAAAAATATAACTCAGTACTCACTGCGGTGAGTGACAGAGAGCGCATTTTCTCATCGACGAAAACGTGAAGTTACGGACAGACGGACAGACAGACAGACGGACAGACAGACAGACAGACGGACGGACGGACGGACAGACGGACAGACAGACAGACAGACAGACAGACGGACAGACAGACAGACAGACGGACGGACGGACGGACATGACGAGCACAATAGCGTATTTTTTCCATAAATGAGAAAATGCGCTAAAAAATAAACGATCAGCAACATCAGGTCAATATTGAATCACGCAAGGTTAGTTGATGTCACAATAAAGGTATTACTAGGTCAACCGGTTACAGTCAGCTCAAGCACAATGTATTTGAACTGTAGTATGGATTAAAAAAAATGTCTATTGGAAATAGACTCCTGCGTTTGGTATTTTTTTTATCCGAGACGAGACGAGACGAGACAACAGGCTCTGTCCCGGTTCGCAATAAAAACCGGGACAATTTTCNAAAAAGGAAAGGATCGTCAACGTCAGGTTAATAGTGAATAACGCAAGATTAGTTGACGTCATAGTAAAGGTATTACTAGGTCAACCGGTTACAGTCAGCTCAAGCACAATGTATTTGAACCGTATTATGGATAAAATAAAATGTCTCATGAAAACCTTACGTTAGAATTTCCAAATGCAATCAAAAATCTGATCCGCAGGATCGAAGTAAGTAAAAATAAAATTGACAATAGCATTAATCTCTGGTTTATAGTAAGACTTTCATTACCTAATTACCAATGGATAATAGTACCGTACAAGCAATATAATTACACCACAATATATGTGGCCCAGTGGTTACAGTGCAGGGTTCCAAGATTGGATCACTGAGTTGCAGGTCTGACCGCAGCAAGCTGTAATAATTCTACGATGCCTAAAATCGTCGAGAGGCCAGATTTGGCCTATTGAACGATCACATCAACTTTACAAGTACTTGGACCTTCGGTAATCATTATGATTATCCTAAATTTAATTATTAAGAATAATTAAATTAAGACTGTCAATGAATAAGTTAAAAAATTAATAATTTGTATTTTAAACTATCAATGTTGTTTACCTTAGCAAAAGCAGCAGGTCGCGTCTGTAGGGCCTGCACGAGGGCAGGACAGAGGGCGGCGAGGGCGGCAAGGGCGCGTCTCATGGTCCTGGCTACCTTAGCAAAAGCAGCAGGTCGCGTCTGTAGGGCCTGCACGAGGGCAGGACAGAGGGCGGCGAGGGCAGCAAGGGCGCGTCTCATGGTCCTGGCAGCGTCAGCCGCCATGAGCTGACAGTGCAGCGTCAGCAGCACCTCGTGCAGGGCACCACCGTCCTTTGCTGACATCTCCAGCAGGTTGTGGTGCAGCTGTAGGGTGCTGCTCAAGTGGGTTAGTGAGTGGGCCACCACCGCTGGTGGTTGGTGGGGAGCAGCTATTGTGGGGACCACTTCTCCAGCACCCTGTGGCGGCGGGTGGCGGTGGGCGGCGGCGGAAGCGACGAAGGGCGTCACTTGGCCAGCACCCAAGGGCGCCGCCCAATGGCTCAGCGACAGCAGACGAATAATCAGGCGCGCCAGGCGCCCGCGCACGACGTTTGCCACGGCATCGTCGCCCACGGCAACTTGAAGGCGCTTGAACGCTGCGAGGTCCCGACGAAGTTGTGCTTCGTCAGCAGCTGGGACGTCGTGGCCAGTGACATGTGACGTGGCGTCGTGGGCAGTGACGTGTGACGTGGCGTCGTGGCCAGTGACGTGTGACGTGGCGTCGTGGCCAGGGACGTGTGACGTGGCGTCGTGGCCAGTGACGTGTTGAACTAGACATGGCGCGAACATGGCTAGCAGTTCCGGTAAATTCTCAGTTAATATATCTTTTTTACTGTACCCACTGACGTCAGCAAGCCAGTCGAGTGTAGGAGGGTGGCGGGTGAGAGAGTAATATAGGAGATGGTCAGGACACTTCGTCAGGAGGATGCTGACGTCAGTCTCGTCCAGCACTGTCAGCGGGAAGTCGCTCAGGGGCAGGCGGTCTCCAAACCAGCAGTCCAGCAACTCCTGCAGGTGTTGGAACAGCAACTCTCGTCGCGTTGTGTCCAACGCCACCGCAACTCTGAACGTATAAAATACAGAGATAAACAGCAGTGCTATAACTCCTGCAGGCGTTGGAACAGCAACTCCCGTCGCGTTGTGTCCAACGCTACCGCAACTCTGGACGTATAAAATAAAACGGGACGTATAAATAAAACGGAAGTATAAATAAAACGGGACGTATAAATAAAACGGGACGTATAAATAAAACGGACGTATAAATAAAACGGGACGTATAAATAAAACGGGACGTATAAATAAAACGGGACGTATAAATAAAACGG